CTGAAAACTCACTGTTAAAAGTAGACTATTAGCCGGGTGCAGTGGCGCTCGCCTGTAATCCCCGCGACTCCAGAGGCTGAGGCAGGAGGATCACAAGTCCAAAGCCAGCCTCAACAATTTGGCAGGCACTAAGCAACTTAGTGAGACCCTCTTTCAAAATAAAATACAAAATAGGGCTGGGGATGTGGCTCAGTGGTTGAGTGCCCCTGGGTTCAATCCCCAGTACAAAAAAATAAATAAATAATTGTGGACCTATCTTGCTGAATCTGTACCTTTCCCCAATTCTGGATTATTCAGAGGCAAATTCAAGGCCTGGTAACATTTCATCTTTTTAAGAATGTGTCACTAAAAGCCAAAGGTTTTCTTTTTTGTTGTTGTTGCTGTTTGATACTGGGGATTGAATTTGGGGATACTCCACCACTTGATCTGAGCTGCTGGGATTACAGACATGTGTCACTGCACCTGGCCTGTTGTTGTTTTTGAGCATAGCAATGCTGTTACATATATCTGTTTCTTGATCTGCAGACTGAAGACACAGGTGTTATCTCTCCCTCCCCTGTTTTTGGCACTGGGGGTTGAACCCGGAGGCATTCTACAACTGAGCTACACCCCTAGCCTTTTAAATTATTTATTTATTTATTTATTTATTTATTTTTTAGGCAACGTCTTACTAAATTACTCAGGCTGGCCTCCATCTCTTAATCCTCCTGTCCTAGCCTCCTGAGTCGTTGTAATTAGAGGTCGCCACTGTGTGCAGCCCAACTGTTTTCCCTTTTAGAAAGTTCTCCAACTATACACATAGGATGCCTTCACTTCTCAGTATACACATTATACTTCAATAAAAGCATAAAAGAAAAAAATACCACAATACTAACATCACACCTAAGTGCCCAACAGTAGTTTCTTAGTGCTGAGTTTCTGGTTAGTGATGAACGACCTTAACCGCGTAGAGACAGACACAGGACACAGTGAGAGGGAGGGCCACCTAACCTGGCCTGGAGTGGGGCTGGATCTCTGATCCTGCCACATCCTTTCCTCACAGAGCTGTCCACTTCCCAGCTCCAGGTGTATCCGCAAGTGCACATACCATTCCTCCCTGGGGCACACCGAAGAGACCAACCTTCCCAAGCGTCTGGGCATGAACCCAGAGGCTTGTAGCCTTGGTGAAACTCCCAGTAGGCACTGGAACAGAGGAAAGTCCTCCTTGGGGCTGGCCAGGGACTGTGCTTGGTGGAGATAGGGAAGCCCCCTGGGGTGCTCAGCATGCTCAGAGCAGCTCCAAGGCCAGCCCCTCAGGCCCTGGCCTAGGCCACGTCGGGGGCTAGAGGCCTTTGGGGGGCACACAGCTAGGCCACACAGGGGCCATCCTGAGTAGGGACGGGAGGAGGCGAGGTCACCAACCTATCTCCCCTGAGCTGCCTGCTTTGCTCACTGGCCCCTCTGTTTGTCTGGAATCCTTGGGAGAAGCCCCTTCTTCTCAGGCCTTGCAGCTCTGCATGTGCTGACACCTTGGGTGGTTGGCACTTTCTCTGTCACCACGGCACAGGCGAACCTTGCACTGCGCAGGCCGCTCCTCTCTGGTCTCCCTCTACCCCTAGGCCCTCTTCTCTCTCAAGGCCACAGGTGCCTCCCTCTGCACTGACCCTGGAGAGAGAGGACCCGAGCATCCTGACCTGGGCCAGACTGGAGGGGACACCTCGGGCAGCACCCTCCCCACTCGGGGCAAACATTTATAATGAATGCTTTTTATTTTAATGACTTTAATTTTCTCTGTTGCGGAAAATGTGGAGACCCACACAGGAGGATACATCGCCAGCTCTCACGTGCCCACCCCACAGCTTCCTCGGCAGCTGGCTCGCGACAGCCTTTGGCCTCCACACCGTCCACCTCCCCTTTCCCCACACCTCTCCTCCAACAGCCAAATTATTTTGAAGCACATCTCCAGATGTCTATTTTAATTTTTAAATTTTTAGTTATTTTCTAATAGGTAATATGGACGTGACTCAAATTTTAAAAGTGCAAAAGGTTAAGAAGAGAAGTGTCACTCCCTGCCTCTCCACTGTCCCCTGGCCATGGGGTGGGTACAACCAGGGTATGTGTGTATTTATTTTTTTATTTATGGTATGAGGACTGAACCCCGAGGTGCTCAACCACTGAGCCACATCCTCAGCCATTTTTTATATTTTATTTGGAGACAGGGTCTCCCTGAGTTGCTTAGGCCCTTGCGAAGTTGCTGAGTCTGGCTTTGAACTCATGATCCTCCTGTCTTAGTTTCCTGAGCTTCAGGAGTGTGCCACCGCAGCAGCAGTGGCTATAGTATTTTGTGGCTCCTCATCATGCAGGGTCCTCTGGGTCTTTGAATTTGTGTTTGGTCACATGAACTTGGACGAGAGAGACTTAAGCAAAACAGTTGAGTGAAGGCTTGAAGGTGGCCCTGCATTCTGGGCTGCTCCCTGTCTGTGAGCAGACCTTGCTATGGGCAAAAGGCAGACTGTCCTCCTGAGGACATCAGGAACAACTCTGATAGAAGCAAGGGTCTTAAGACAAAGGGATCAATGGAGTGAATCCAAAGAAAGTTCTCACCTCCACCCCGACCCCTACCCTCTACCTCCCCCACCCCATACCCCCCTCCCTGGACCTGGAACCCCACAGAGCGCTCAGCAGGCACCTGGACAATCCGAGGTGCAGAGGTATGGAATAGTGGTCGACAGGGAGCAGCTGGTACCACTACTCAGGCACCCAGAAGAGCAAGGCCACGTCTGCCTCTCTGGTCCTGGTGGGCACTCTCTTCCTAGTGTTCCCTGGGGACCTGGGCTGGGGAGAGCTGCTGTTCTCCCGACACCTGCCCTGCTCTCTGGACAGCCGGGCAGAGCTCAGTGTCTGCTCTGTTCTTTGTCAACACTTATAGGAACCTCACCCTCCCCCCATTCTGGGCCTCCCAGCACCACCACAGACCCCGGTGGACACTCCTGATCTGGCAGACGACCACCCTGTTAGGTTCCAAGGGGCCTGACCCTCTGCTGCCATAGAGGAAGGGCCTGGGCTGGGCGAACCCCAGGCTTGGAGCTCCCAGAGCAGGGCAGATGATTCTGTCCACACCTGATAAGGCTGACGCCAGAGGGGAGGTCAGCACCCGGCCAGGAGCTGGCCAGGCAGGGGGAGGGACAACTCTAGGATGCTCTGGAGGACATCAGGAAGGAAAGTACCTGCATGAATGAGAAGCAAA